AAGTTGAATGGCAAAACCTGAATCGGGGAGACAATGCGCTGCTTATGCTTTGCGTTAAGTTAACTGCAGTGAAGTCTCCTGTTGAGCTATTTCAGAATATCACAAACATTCAGCATAATGTCATTAGCATAGCATATATTGCTTTCAACATTAAGAAAACTAAAAATATTCAAGGAGACCAGCAAACTCACTCAAGATCAAATTCATTGGCTTCAGGTTTATAAAGTGGCACCTTAACTGCATATAATGCACAAGGTCTGTTGTAGCAGTATATCATACCAAGCTTTCGCAGCTCCGCTGACCACCCAACAAAAACTACAACTTGATGTGTGCCATCCACTGCTGGAGCCCATACAACTTGGCCAGCACTCAAAGACTTTGGTATCCCTTTGATAGGCTGCACCTTGCCACTGCAACAGACAGATTATTCAATTTAGGTTATGAGGCCTATGGAAATGTCCTTCTACCCTATCATAACTCTGATTAAACTCAAAAATAAAAACCTGTTAACACTCATGACAAATAGTGCAGGCTGCCTTTTTCCCGCATAGGATTCCCCCCAGCCTTCCTGCCATTCTCCTTGACCTTTCCAGCTGCCACAATCCTTATCTTTTGAACCACCTTTCTTGTAACCTAGATCATCAAAAGTAGGCTTGGAGGGAGATGGTTCCTCAGCAACATAAGCAACAAGGGATTCATCTGAGTTCCAAGATATCCCTTCAAACCTATACCACAAGACATGTAAATATTTCAAGGCTGACGATGATGGAAAAAGGAAAACTACTACAGCTACTATTTTACACGATTTCTTTAGCTGCTTCAGCTACCACAACAACAACCATCAGTTGCAATTACATTAGAGTAACAACTATATGAGTCCTACTACAGTCTACAGACAGCAATAGATAATCTAGATTACCATCTAATAGTCCCTAAAGTTATCACCAGGAAAAAGATCAAGACATTCATTTTATTTCTTACCATCCATCAATATACACCGAGCCATGAACAGACTGAGGGATCTGGAACTCCTTCTCCAACTGAGATGGGCTCCATATTTCAAATTGAGAAGGAGACTCATTTCCAGAGTTTCGAATTACAAGAAGCTTTGAGCCTGATGGTGAGGGAACAATTGTAGACACCCCTGTCATCTCAACAGGAAATGGGGCCCATTGGAAGTTTACTCTATTGGTACTTTCTTCTGAAATATTTGTTGACAGCATAAATTTCCGTTTCTTGTTCGCCAAAATATTTGGTTGGCTGATTGAAAACATTGCCTGGGAGCCTATTCCTTCAACAACAGTTGTCAAACAAAATTTGGGATCAGGATTTTTTTTTTTTTTTTAAGGTTTCTAAAAGATAAGGAAACAACAGGAAAAGAAAAATGAATAATGAATCAAATTACAAAGCAAGCGCAGCTTACCACCATTAGACTGAAAAATCCATGCCTTGTCAATAGTGGAAATATCGGTGAATTCTTTAAGTAATTTAGACTGGGATTCATATTCTTCTTCTGTAGCTGCATCTAAGCCCAGTGGGAGTTCCTTCTCTGGAGCAGGTTTAGCTGAATCCATGGCTAAAACAGCTGAAAAACTTTTGCTACATGTTGGATGAAAAAGTCAATGTATATTAGGAAACACGCTCAAAAGGAACTTGTGAAAGGAAGCATAGTTCTCATGTCAGGACAGGAAATTGAGAATTGATGCAACCCACATTACAAGAAACCCTTCATTTTCTTGCAGTCTAGCACAATCAATTGCACTCCTAATATTATAAAAGCACACACTAAAGTCTACCCAACTTCCTTGTACCAAAAGAAATGAAAAGATTGAGGAATATATACACGGTTTGTCATATCAAATCTTTTTTTTTTTGAGCAACAAAAGAATCAGGCTGCCACAGAAAACCAAGAATGAGATTACAGATACAGCAGATATTACTGATAATCAAAGACAAAATGAAGGTTCATGAAATGGAAATTGATGGGCTTTTTACAAACAACAGAAAATATCACATGCTTTCCCTTAATAAGCCCTCGAGGCCTCTTTACTAAACCAAAACTAGAATACCAAGACCTGCCGAGTTACAAAACAGGCCAGCAGAGATTGGAAGACCTCCTCAGTTGGGTTCAGTTCAATTGAAAGGAAAAATGAAAAAAAAATTGTTATTCTTCCCAAACCAATTTCACTTCCCTGAAAACTTAAAAGGGTCCATCAACGGTATCACAATACACAATCTTTTTAATATTTTTCTAGACTTAGCATTAAAACAATCCATCATCCACCAAATTTCTGAAAATCTTTTCCAGATTCTTCCACCGTTGACCCTATTCTAAAAATACCAAAACCAAATCCATCAACTAACAGATAAAAAAAAAAGGACTACTGATCAATAAATATTGCTTTTATAACAAAGAACGGAGTTATTTCATATCATCAAAATTTCAACCCACATAAAACAACAGCAAATCAACACAAAATAAAATAAAATAAAAAGAACCCAACAAGCAGGATGAGTAAGGGATACAAATACAAATGATGCATTGTGGTTGAAAAATCGAGTCTTTAGAGTTGAAGAGAGAGAGAGAGCTTACAGACAGAGTGAATTGAGGGTGAGGAGGGAGTGAGGGAGGCGACGAGAGAATAAAGGGGGGAAAGGGAATATAGGGGTAAGGAAGGAGGTGATATTGTATGATGCCAATTGCAATGGTCTACTCATTCGCAGTTTGGACTGTGGATATGTTTGTTTAGGATACTCATGCAATCATCCACCCCGCCGCCAGGGACATTTATTTTTTCCCCATTTTTTCTTCTCCTCTGAGGTTTGGAAAATGAGGTTTTGTCTTTATGCCGGAGGAGTGTCCTGTGTTGAAGTTAATTCCTCATACCTTTATGGTTTTTTTTTTTTTTTTTTTAACAATTTACAATTTTTGAGATTAAAAAAAGGGATTTTTCAAAACGTTAATGAGCTTTAAAATCTGATTAATTAAGTAAGTGCTTTAGATTTAGGG